TTTCATCTTAGTTGTCTGAAATTTTGAAGTCTACAGTTTGTCTATATTTGATAGATATTTTGATTCTAGATAATTATTTCAGTCCTATGATATAGATAACTCTATGAATTGATTGGAAGCTACTTTTATATAAGTTAAGATTGAGCTAAGTTAAACATGTTCATAACCGTCACTTTTAAGTTACTGAATAAATTTAAGAGTTGGAAATAAGTTTATTATCATTCAACAATTGTAACTGTTGTAATCAAATGTTCTAATTAGATCAGTTTTTCTTTAATTATGATTTAATATGTTTTAAAACATTTACATTCTTAGCATAAGCCCCATTTTCAGTTATATTATTAAAGTCTTCTTGAATTGAGTCAAATGGTCATTCGTTTCAGTATCTAGTTTACTACTATTTGTAAAGGTTTGCATTTTACCCACTGTTTGATTAACTATTATTAGCACACAATGTCATTGAACGTATGTCAAGAAATTTCCTATAATTACAAGTTTGTTATCTTGTGTATTTATATTTCATCGTGCATGTAATTACGTCTGTTCTGATACTCACACTGATATTCGAACTCTGTACCCATTAATTCAAATCCCATTGTGATAGCCAATAATCTACTGAGTTCATTTAAGGACCAACTAATCCAATGAGGATGATACTATTCTTTATGTGGGTTCATATGCTTGAATATTAATTGTTGGCGTCTAAAGTGATGACATGGTATTTGAGATTTAATTGAGTATGCGGAATGGTAAACATCAAACTAATGAGTTCCAAACAGGACATCATCTTAGAGTTAACTGTTACCTAAAATGTTATATTCAATTTCCTCATTTATTATGATCAGTTGAAGCATTTTAGGCTTCTTATAAATCTTGTCATTATAATTCAAACTTTCGCTTATAAAAACTATAGTGAATGGGCTTATCTGTTGGGGGATTCACCATTATTCTTTAGAGTTGTAACGTAGATAGAAAACAAATAAAACCTTTGATATTTACTAATATTTGTTGAAGGAATATGTACCGAGTCTTATAATGACGTTTTTGTACTATAATCGGGTTTCTTTCACAGAGCACTTTTCTGTCGTTTCTTCATGTAACATGGAATAGTTAGTATATATACATCTGTTAAAAGGAATAAAATATTAAATCCTTGAATTACCACATCTTTTTCTATTAAATTTAATTTACATTGACCGATAATTCTCCTTTAAACATTAAAAACACGAAGTTCAGCGAAGGGATCTCTTTTCAACGAATTTATTATCAAGCTGTACAATCGTGTATATATATATATATATATGAAAATGTCTTGTTAAAGTACTAATTCCGTGAGGAAATGTGAACACGAATAATCATGATGATGTAATAAAAAGATTGTAATACTTGATTATGTAATACGAGTAATAAAAATAGATTTAGTGAATATAATAAGATGATTACAGTGAATAAAACGTTTTTGTTACAATAATTAAAGGTCATTAAAGGTCATAGAGGTGTAAAAATGAATAAGGTGATATGATGAGTATTCATAAATAAAATAATGAGAATATAGGACGTAGGTAAAGGGGAAATGCAGTAATAATAATAATAATAAGGCCACGGTAACGATAACTATAAGATTTACCTCTTTTGTACGCATAGTTCTGGTTTAAGCTCATGGATGGTGAGAGCTTCGTCTATTTTCAAGGGTTGGGTACGAAGAAATCTAGCTAGATTTGAACGAATTATATAAACAATCTTAAAATCAATCTGTGGATCCGTAGAATTATTACAGTTGATTAGGCCTTCAAGTATAGAACTCCTAACTGCTTTCCTTTCAACCTTGTAGAACGAAACAGGGATATATTCTCGTATTCGAGTTGAAAGCGAGCGCTGGCCACGGCTAATATACCTTGCTCCACCAGAGCAGGTGAACTGGTAGATGCACATGGAGGCGACCAGACGCGGCAGCTTATCTTTTATAGATACAGAAAATAAGTTCCTACTAGTGAAGGTTATTCACAGTTTAGCCTCATTAGATGTTCGTTTAATCGTTGATGTTAGATGATTTTTGATTACGTCTGACGTTCAATCACCTTTAAATTCCAGACTTATATAGAGGTTTTTATTTGGGACGGAACAACTGGGTTTCCTGTCGAAACCATTTTTATTCATATTCTCCTCTATGAAACGGTCTTGGTAGCCACTTTTCGTAAAAGTTTTCTTAAGGAATGAGAGTTCTTCGTTAATACATTCCGTACTGCGTATCCGATGTATTCGATAACATGAAAAATGAATGAATTATCTCTTTCTACACAACGCAAACCAGACATAGAAGTTGGTTAGCTGACTATTCCACGTTCATTTCCTAGAGATGGGGTCTTTTAAAAAGCCATTACCGTTTCTCATCAGACGTACATCGAGAAAAGGAATTGATTGATCTCGCTCCCTCTAACAACAAAGATATAGGATTACCAACTAAACGCTTAAGAGAATTATTGTTACATTGTACCTTTAATGTCCAGTTCAGTATCCACAATGAAATATGTAGACAAAGAGATGGGATCTCAACGGAGTCTCCATTAGGTCCGATTCTAGAATACTGTTTCATGGCGAAACTAGAAAACGACCAACTCATTTCAATGATCAATCTATTTCACCTATACGTAAGATACATGGACGACACATTTGTCGTTTGTGAAGATAATGTTGATTTAGAGGATATCTTACACACCTTTAACTCATACCACCCTTCCATAAACTTCACGTTAGAAAGGGATAGCATCTAGTAATGAAATCCAGACTGTACGTTTCGTCCTATTTGAGACTTGTCCTCTGGATGTACCTTCATATCATATTTGGTCCTCACTTGAACCTAGTGCAATGTACTCCACATGTCATCACTTTATCCACTAAGCTTCTAAGTCTATATAGCTGCTGGGTTGTTCAGTAGGGTGAATTTTCGGTATATATGGATCCTGTGCGGATCGTCGTAATATTACCATTAAGTCACAAGTATTTTAGGCAGAGATTAATCGTTGTTAGTAGTGCTTAAATTGCTTGTGACTTATTGGCAATATCGAGGCAATGCGCATCCAATGCACGCATTCTATAAACACACTGATTAATTGCAGTCCTAAATAACAATGAAAACATTCAAACAACTAATATAATTGAGCTATTTTTTAATTGGTAAATTCTTATTTTTTTTTTCAAATTTGAACTTATGGTTAGGGTTAGGTGATTAAAAGCAGCCAAAAAACCTCATATTTAAATTTCATACTAATTTGGATTTATCTCCTGTTTACACTTGCGATCTTGACAGAACTAGCCTACTATATAATCATCAGATTCAAACCCATTTCATCCAGTGTTACGGTCAGAGACTAGAGAAATTAGTTGCCTCAAGATATCAAGTACACGTTGCTGATGAGTCCTGACCCTCATGAAACTCAGTCTCATAAATTTACGATGATTACATCAAACCACGTAACATCAGGATTTTGGTGCACAAGATTTCGTATTACTTAAACTAGAATCCACGTTGCAACTTAATCCATAAAATTCAATCAGCAATAAAGGCCTACATTATATTAATCACCGCTTAGTGATCAATCAAATGTGAACCAGTACAATTTCACTTAACGTGACATGTTTCCCTCTTTTCTTCATTTTTATGCTTCTAGAAATTTGTTTTTGTATCATTTATTACTTTCATGTCTCAATTAATAGCCATTTTGATTTTGTATATTGATTTCTACCACTAGTTTTCATTTAGCAAACATGACCGTGCGTGGTACTACTCATATTTTCAAATCTGTCCAAGTAGAAATTTGAATAAACTAAATTCATCCTTGAAAACAATCTAAAAACAAATTTCTTATTTTTTAGAAGAAATTCTAACATTTTATTTACCATTATTCTTTCGAATAAGTGCGTGACTTGATTTACAAAGGTTAATTATAGACAAAACTGTACTCCTGGAGATTTTAAGGGAATAATGAGGGTTCCTTATGAAGAAAGATAGATTATTGAAGGTATCAGATCTTTTCTAAGTACATCGAATGTTTCAGCAATGAAATCAGCTTGGGTATTTACTGGATGCTTTGTAAATATGTAAACATTTATATACAGTAGGGAACCAAGAAAATGAATAGGGAATATCATGAGGAAATAAAAGAGAGAAAAGTCATATAATCAAAAAATAGATGAACAAGTATAGTGTTCAAAAGGAGGTATAATTCTATAGTTAAGATCATGAGTCAATTGAAGCTAGACCACCGTGGAAAATCTGGAAGCACTGGACGGCCGTTTCGTCCTATTATGGTATAATTCGTTTGAAAATATAACCAATAAATATTTTTCACGTTTAGAGGATTATTATAAATTATATCAATCTTGAATACAACTATAAGAACTATCTACTGGATCTTGTTCTGAACCACTTCTGTTAATAACTCAACCTATTGGGTTTCATGAAATCTAGGTACCCAGCCGGAAGGTCCCTGGGAGTCGACAAGTCCTAGTGCTACACAAATTACTGTCATAACATACCATTACATCATGAACCTGCATCTCTATGTTTTCTCCACTCAGTCCCACAGTTGGTAATTAATAGTTATTAAAAAAGCAGATGAGGTGAAATTCATAAAATGTGTCTAACTAACGGTAACATCTACTAAATTGGCTTCATTGGGTCAAACAAACTCTAGCGAACCTAGTCATTACAGAAATGGAATTTGCACCAGATGTAAGCAATTTTTTAGGGTAACAAACTCGGAACCTATGAGTTGATAAGCGTAGACCAGGACTGTTTCAAATGACTAGCCGTTTACTAAAAATTTTAGAGCCAGATTAACATGATGTTGGCTCTGAAAATGGGTTCAATCGGTCTCGTCTACTTTGGCTTCCACCATACTGGCGTTACCGAATAAAGCATGTAGGAATACAGGTAAACGTCAAGTTATACACTGATGTGTACAAATTTCCCTAGACAGACTTGTTCAAAAGAAAAAAAAGAAATGAAATAAGTATTTTATCATACCGTTTTCACACACAAACACTGCATATACACAAATAATTAAAAACATATTTGAAGTGATACTTGGAATCCAGTCAAAAATTAGATGAAATATGATGGTCTTGTAGCCAAGAAATCATTACATGTATACATATAAATGTATGTGAAGATGTTATATAACTGAAATAACTCATCTACTTACCTGTTTTTTTAAAAATATTTTCTTCTTTGTAAACGCATTTAATTTTAATATTGAAGAGTAGCTTATGTAGAGTTAGTGTTTTTTTTTTACTGTTATGTAAAACAAAATAAAAGTTAATTCCAAGTGAGAACTGTAACATTTTCGATGCATAAATGTTGAGAAATAATCAAGAAATTGATTGTTCTCGTCTGTTTTTTTCAAGTTTGATTGTATATACTACTCAATTATCCTCCAAACGTTATGAATAAATAATTATTAGAAAAGGAAAGCTTACACTTAAAATTGTTTTTCTGTTTTGAAGAAGATTATTTATTGTATTTGTCTAACAACTTTTCAGTATACCAGTCTCTTTCGTCATTTTTGAATATTTATGATGATACTAATTGGGTCAGTATGTTTAGTAACGTATATACTTTCTGTAAGGTATGACACATCTCCAGGCTCCATAATTTAAATATCGATCAAAATATATGCAGAATATTTTTAGATAAACATTTGATTACTTACAAGTAGTTTAATAAATAAAACCAAAAAGTGTAGCAATTTCAGAAATGAAATACCATTGACAAAAGAATGTGATGAATATAATTTGCAAAGATAACTAATAACGACAAAATATTTTCAATTTAAGAAATAAAATAATAAAGATCAAACTAAATTATTAATGATTAAGGAATCAAGTAAAGTTTTCTTTGTTTTTCTTTTGATCGTCCAATTTATGAAAGCAATTTATAAGAAATGGTTGTGAACAATACATCCATCCATCCATCCATCCATACATACATACATACATACATTAAAATTAGGAAAATTATATCGAATTGAAATCACTGATAAAGCAGTACAATAAATAATTAATTTAGGAAACAAATTACACAACATTAAATCAGCTTACAGAAAAAAATATTCCACCCCCACCCCACCCCGCAAAAAATGTACGTTACTTGTTTTTTTTTCATTAAACACATCACATTAAATGTAAGTTAATTTATTTTATTTATTCCATATGAATCTTCGTTTATTTTTTGTTTAAATTTACTTTTTGTATGAATATCATTGAAAATTTTTTTTTTTCAAAAAATAAATTATCCAATTTTTTTTCGGTTTTTTGTTTTTTTGTTGTGTTTTATTGTACTTTTGTTTATAATTGATTAAACTGAAGATGTTCATTAAATTTTGTTCAATGGATAGTTCTCAAAAGGATTATTTCTTATTCATTATTACTATTATTAGTGTAATTATGTGTATACAATTTTATGTACACCAGGTAAACTAACGAATAGGTTCTATTGAATTTCTAAAGGAAGCAAACAAACAAAAGAATACAGTTTTAGATTTGATTCTATTTATGAAGAATAGATTTGTTTCTTGTTTTATGTTCACATGTATTGCCACTTTCTCCATTTGATCTTGTATACATTAATTATAATTAAATGAATGTGTACATGTAATTAGTAAACATAAATATACTTGATTTTTTTTTAATAATATGAAATGTTTAAAACAATGACATTAAAGGTGATAAGAATAAACAAAAGAAGAAAAAATAAAATAAATGAAAACAAAGTTAAAAACCATATTGAACATTCAATATTATTATTATTATTATTATTGTAGTTTTGTTTCAATACGGTTTTGTAGAATCATTTTTTGGACGTTTCAATTGAACTTTAAGACGTTTCATACCAATTTGAAAACCATTCATTGCATGTATAGCTGCTTGTGCACTTGTTGGATTATCAAAGCTAACAAAACCTAAACAAATTAGTGAAAGAATTATGTTCTATTAAAGGGGGATAAATAAGTACTGGTGTCATATATATATATATATATATATATATATATATATATATATATATATATATTGATTAATCTCTATAGTTTTTTATATCATTTATAGTTTTCTGTTTACAGATTAAGGATTACTTCCGGTTTCATCGAATCTGTTAAGGATAATGATCATTGAATAAGTTAAAGTATTGTTTAGACGATTGAAGGTATCTGTAGTATCGGCTGTTATGTTAAGCCCATATACTTTATTCTACCTACTGGCCAAGCTAAATAACTTATACATTATGAGTCATATTTTGATCTTGTTAATTATTCGCTTATTAACCTTGACTACTTTTTATATGAGCGTATGTTTGTGCACGCTTCTTATCTTATTCATCATATGTCTGTCATTCATTTTTGTCTGACTATAAATGTTGATTAACGCTTGCTTAATATGAGTTGGCTTCCCAGCCATCTCCACTATGCATAATCTTTGCTTCGCTCGCTTACACTTGCTCATGTGCCCACAGCTTTCTGGTCTGCATCATTCATCAATAAAAATGTAGTTGCCGCTTCCTTTTTCCTTCTGATTTTATACACCGTTAAGATTGGTATAATAACGGTTATCGAAGTGAACTATTATTGAAGCACGGCACTACATATCCTTCGAAATCATTCCACTGTACAATAGTTGAAATTTATTTAAACAGTAAACATGGAGATTATGAGATTATCTAGTATAATTTAAATTTACCTTATAACAGTTTCCAATATGGTTTAGAAAAACTCTGGGTATTGGTACTTATTGACCAGTGAGCAGTAGTCAAACCTGGTGTTTGTTTAATCTTTAGTGCAGATCACATTCCATCAGTCAAGTTATAATGTACTGACTAATCTAAACATTTTCATATGTTTGAATATTAAGGGGATATAGGCAACTATTTAAAATATTTCAGTCTTATGCGAAGTCAGATTTAGATGGAATAACTCATTATTAATGTCTGAAACTATGATACTGTTTGGTAAGGACTACAAAAGCAGTTGCCTTAAGAGTTGCGATATTCTTTGTAAATAAGGGCTATTTGGTACGAATTATCCATCGGTTACCTTTAACCATGTAAATTCAAACTTAATATCTACCAAATGTATTTGAAGAATTTTCAACTACACTAAATTTAGGAGTAACATTTTCATTAACAGACTCATAACTATATAATTATGTTTCTATCGAAATTTCATGAAGTATGCGTTGTCATTCATGTTAGGATAGGTGTTATACTTTGTTATCAGAATTAGGGAAAGCTTGCGATTGCAGTTTTTATAGACCAATAATACATTTAGAATAATAATTGCCTAATATGTAGTGAAATGAACAAGTTCTCATAAGATCAAATAAACAATTGATAGAATAACTTGCATAGAGTAAAAAGTCGAGTAATTGATAACACTAATTTCACATTAAAGGGATTTCATTTTTACTATGAATTGACAATATTGGTGAATAGTTAAGAATTAGTGGTTTCATTTTGATTATAGCTCAACTCATTTATCAAGTACAAACCAATAAAACTGTCTCACAACTGCACTTTTATGATGTTAGGGTTAGTAATATTATCCAACTGTCTAAATCAAAGTTGGACAATAAAGAAAGTTGAACCCTTTGCTTACTTGTTTTCATAAATTCTCTTGTCGATATAAATTCATAACACAAAAACACACCTCTTTTAAATCAATGAAAAGAACTTACCAAAACATTTACTTTGATTCGTCGCACGATCAACATATACTTTAGCACTGATTACTGTTCCAAATGGCATAAACATCTGAGCCAATTCGGGGTCGCCAAATTCCTGTGGTAGGTGGTATATGAAAAGATTGCATCCCTCTGGCCCTACATATATATAAATATATAAATGTTTATTTGAAACCGATTCATGCATATTTATTAATAATATACACAAATAGAAGTTTATTATTCATCACCTTGTATATTGGTGTAAACCACACTTATGTTTAATAAATCAGCAATACAGATTATTTAAATTTACATTTGTACATTTGTAGAAACAGGACAGACAATATTTGTATACTTAATGGGGATCATAAACCGATTGATGTTAGACCACTATGAAAAACCTAGAAGCACTGGATAGCTGTTTCGTCCCAGTATAGGATTCCTAAGCAGCGCATATCCACAATCTCGCCTCACGAGACTCGAACCCAGGACCTAGCAATCTTGCGCGCCAACGCCTAACTTCTAGACCACTGAGCCGGCATTGAACAGTGTTAATGTTTAATTCCAACCAATCCTTGAAGTTGCACCACTGTCCACCATTGCCTTCAATTAATATCAATGTAGAGGAACGAAAGTATGAATGATCGACACATTATTTAGTCGAATAATCAGTTTGATTAAGTCTTAATCATTGTATAAACCATCCATTCTTTTTAAGTATTTCCATGTGATAAAGTACAATTCCTCTTTTTGTTCTTATGATGAATTTAACAATCTATTGAACAATCAAATGTTTCAGAGATTTTGCTTTGAATTAACTGATCTAAATCTAAGAATATGAACAGTTTTAAATCTAAATAATTCAGATTGACTTTCATTATCAACCAAAAAACACCCTTTAAATATCAGAAAGGATTGAATAACTTTGAATTCACCAGTAATGTAGCTCGATAGTGTAGCTCACTATACTGAATTTAGGACTTTTATATTTCATCATTGATAGATGAAAATTTATTGAAAAAAAACTAAAAACAAAAAATAAAATTTAACATTAAATTTGATCTTTAAAACGCATGTTACCAAGGATGATCATTTAATGAAAGGGAAAGGTTATTTTTGAGTAGTTTATTTAATTATAAAAGCCATTTTGACTAAATTTAATCTTAACTCAGTAAGTAAGTAAGTAAGTGTGTAACCTAGATTTTGACTTAACAATACTAAGTAATGTACTTCAATAAGATGCCTGTAGAAAAAACTAAATCCTACGTGTAAACAGATGATATCTAACTTTATTCGATCGATAGTCTTGTACAACTCTTCATCTATTGTCTGAGGTGGATAACTTTCTAACACTCAACACGGATTGGACTCCACTGATCACGGCTTCTCAATAGAACTCCAGGAAAACTATCTTGAAGTTAGTCACTAATGAGCACATGATTATTATCAGTAAGGGGATTTGTGGAGACTGTAGTATATTTAACAATTGAATTCACCAGTCGATCTAAGCTAAACCATCATTGAAAACCTGGAAGCACTGGACAGTTGTTTCGTCTTAGTATAGGAGTCAGCAATGAGCATCCACTATTCCACATGCGAGACTTGAACCTAGAACCCTCTGTCTTTAACGTAATTGCCTAACCTCTGGATCACTGGTGGCTTCCAGGTCTTCAATATTGGTCTAGCTCAGATTGACTAGTGAAACGAACTGTCAAGTGTACTACAGTCTTTACAAACACCCTTACTGAAAACAGATAATAATCACTTAAAACCATTTTTATGATGAAATCAAAATCCATGAATACAATGCGTTATTTGTTATTTAGTCAGACAACATTTATTCCGGTTTTCAAATGGATTCAGGTGGATTTCAGCTAATATTTAGGATCATGGCAACAAAGAATGATGCAAGGATTTTTAAAAAATCTTTGTGACTTGAAATTTCTAGAAACGAAAAAAAATACTTCACCATTTAGTAGTCGTAACAATCATGATGATAACAGTGAACTCAAAACTCATATGGGGAAGACCAACACGTTGTTTAAAGTCTTGATAAAGTATGAAAACCATACATTAAAAACTTGATTTGCACATCTTCCATCAATTGTCTCACACAAACTTCATCGTTCCTTCATTTCTATTGTTATTAAAATTACTCCGTTTTTACATTCCCATTCTTTTCAGTTTGATCTTCTCAATCTTCTTCTGCCAGGCATTTCACTTCTGACTGATGTTTCTTACTACTTATATCTACCGAAATAAGTAGCATACACTATGGTAGTAGTGGTAGTGTGAAAAATGTTAGTACTATTGGCAACATATCTCATAGTTATAGCAGGACTTATGATTTACGGAAATTGTATTGTATGTTTTCTGAAAATTTCAGTCATTTATATTTACAAAAGATGATAACAAAAATGGTGTGAATGTAATCTATCCAAAAGTATACAAACTGAGTTTTTAAAAAAAAAAATTCACAAAGTTTAGTGGAAGTCGATCATTTTTATCTTATTTTGAAATACTGTTCATTATTGGGAATGTATTTACTCCTCATCCGTTTCTGTTGTATTAAATGTTCTTGAAAGTCCTCAGAAGTCAGACGTTTCAGCTAGCTTAACGTTTTGATATGGTTTCTTCAATTCCAAATTAATCACTAGAACGGTCTTAACAAATAATGATCCAAAACTCAGTTCAAAAGTGAAAATATGGACAGATAATTAACGGCTGAAATGACCAAGAGACAGGATACGTAGTCTGTTCTCATCAATATATTTCATCAGAATCTGTCTTGCATTTGTATCGTCCTTTTAGTCTTCTCGGCTAACACTGAAACCTTTGATTAGCATAAAAAGGAGTCTTCTCCTGGATCTATCATCTCCATAGACAGTCACCAAGACTGAATGGATATAATGAGACATATTCTTGTTTCGATAAAAGTTTAATGAGACTCATTTCGCGCGTTTAATGTACAAATCATACATCCATATTATCTCGAAAAGTACTTTACATGAATTTTCATCAATATTTTAGCAAACATTTTGACAGGATACAGGCAGTGACTGTGCAGAAGACATTATTCACAAGCAAGTCAATGAAAATTCAATAGTTTAAGAAGTTTTCTATGATACTTGAATCTTAGTGAATATCTGTGTATGAACTCTTCTCCTCACATATCGAGGTGATACAGATGTACCATTGAAATCATAAGTAAACTGTATTATTTCCAATCAGTTGAATCATAATAGTGATGGATAAAGCATTCCATAACAGATACTAACAGATGGAGATTATCATTATTTGTTCAAAACTCTTAGTTTGAACAAAGTTTAGATTTCCTAGCTCATAGCTATAGTATTACTTAACAAGACAAAGATTGCTTACATTTCTAAAAGTTGATTTTCGACAGTCAATGAATCAATCAATCAATGTTACTTGGATTAGCCTAAAAAGCTACCTACACTTTATTCTATACCAGTACTACCGTCTATGTTAATCCCGATAGATTCATTTTTAATTTTGATTCAATTCCAACCAGCAAAAATATTTTAATCATAATGAATTCATCATTCAAACTCAACAGCTTTCCTGTTTACTGTTTTTATTCACAACATCATATTTATAGTGTTTGTTTTAGAATTCAATGACTCCATATATTTTTTTCAAGTTTTCTATCATGGCTTATCTTTTATCATCTTGATGAGTCCAATATATTTTGTTCAAAACTTTATACTACTGACAAATAGTTATTAGTAAAAAGCGAAACAAATAATTTTCAGGACTTATCTCTTTTGTATAATCAACTCGATTCACTTTATGTATATTTACTAATGAGTTAACAAATAACTATTTCTTATTTGTTTGTTTAAACCGAATATAACACACGACAAGTAATTGTCTACATTCATAATAACAATAATACGTACTACATCAAAACATTCTATGTGCATAAGTTCACGGAACATGGTATTGTTAAATCATAAAACACCGCATTCTGTGATTGTTTATTTATTTATTCTGATGCACAATATATCTGGGTGTGTGTTTGTGTACTGACATTATTCATCATTTCTTGAAACTTCACTTTTTGCACCGGTTAGATACATTTAGGTATACCATAGACATTTATGACGAAACAATAATATCTTTGACTGAAATACACAAGCAAATATATATACACACACATATATTGGTACAGACGTATACTCACATTGATTCACTGGAACATTGATAAATTAATAAACTGACAACTGACATAAGTATGAAAATACACTAAAAAAACTAAAGATAATCTTAATACTTCAGAGTAAACTGACTGGTATATAGTAGTAGTGGTAGTGTGAGTAGTGGTAATAGTAGTAGTAGTATTTAAAGTTGAACAATTGACAACGTCAATAAATAATCATTAGAACAAAAACAAAAAAGCGATGTGGAAGTTCGATAGCAACAGTATTTCATCAAAGTTCTTTTTAATATCATTATTGCTACTTTTTACAGTCATCAATAGCACGAAGCAACATATTGATTCAATACAAAATACTGATTGGCAACGTCAATGATAATTATAACAATTAAATGAACAGTATTCCTGTATAACATCAATTGTATAGAACGATGAACAGATAAATAAGTAGACATATAGATAGATGCACGGTTTACTTTAATTCTATCATCATAATTTGGTAATAATCATAGTAATAACGAATGTGAACGAATCAACAATCAACACATTTACTATAGTTTATGTTTTTTTGTTGTTGTAACAATTGACAATGAAAAATGGGGAGAAAAGTAAACACGCATTACTACACACTAACACATAACATGATCTGGTGCAATACCCCAGCAACATAGATTATTTTTCAAAGATTAAACTAAATAATGATATTACTAATAGTAATAGTAATAATAATAGTAGTATTAATAACTTTCATTTAATGTAAAACATGGTGACTAGATAAAATAGACTCAATTTGACAATTGAAAACAGTCATTGTCAATGAGTTGAATATAGAAGTAATAATGAAAATAAATTATTAGAATTAAATTTACCGTTGATCGTTTGTTAAATTGTTGGCTAATGAAGAAAATTAGACAGAATAATAATAATAATATGAGTTGTGAAAGTGAATTTATAAAAGATATTGAGTCTTTAACATTCAAAGAAACTTAGTTCAGTTAACTAAATTGAATTATTCATTTATATTATCTTACCAAAAGGAAACCATTCCCTTTTTTAAGATATAACGGTAAGACTATAGTTTATGAACCAAGCAATTAGAAGCGTTTCAGGGATTTCAAAGTCACAGCGCTAATTTCAGTACCTGATGCTCACGTCCGATTGGTTCACAGTGGATTTTAGAGAAAAGGTGACAATTCAGTGGCTACAACAAATGGGACTACTAAGAAGTTCCGTTGTGTGTGATTATGGTAACTAAATGACTTGTGGACCTTATGCAGACTACGGTGATGATGTTGTTTTTTGATGCAATATGTGTTGTAGGAAGACATCTGCTAGAACAGGACTTTTGGCTCGATCCACATTGAGACTAAGGTAAATTATGACAATTGTTGGGTACTGAATAATAAAAGCACCAGTAACATTGCCTGATACCGGGTACTACAATATATACGAATGATTGGAGAGCTTACACATACCTACATAGACTTGGTTATGTGCATCATGTCGTTATCCATAATTGACATTTTATGGAGTTCATAACCGGAGTGCACACAAACAATATTGAAGCTATGTGGTCGAGTCTGAAACAGTTTTTGAGAGCTTATCATAGTTCCAGAGAACGACTATTATTAAGCCATATGGATGATTGTCTCTACCGTATGTATTATGATTTTAGAACCTATGAACCTCTTTCTAACCTTGATAAGTTTTTGAGCCATTTAAAAGAAGTATATCCATTTTAATTCTTTGATTTTGTATAATATATTTTACTCTATGCTTATTGTTTACTGATTGGCTAACATTTCTCAAGGTCACCTAAGATTCGTTCAAAGGTCGTCCAGAAATTATAATCTCGCCTACCTACGGAATATAATCATTGTTATAAATCATTTAGTAAAGAATATTTCAACCGACTAAAATGTAAAACAAAAAATTGGAAAAAAGTTTAAAAAAATGCCATTTATCCATTAAATTTCATAATGCAATAATCATTATAACTGATATAATGATCTAATAGATTTTTAAGAAACAACGATCTAAATGTAAGCAAAGATGGATAGTGGCTAGCAGTGGAATCCAGAACGCGCGTTTCGTCCTATTTCAGACTCGTCAGCTGGATGTACCTGCATCTCAGAGTTGATGTTCACTCTGGGACTCGAGCGCAGTACCATTCGCTTCAAACGCCATCTCGTTATCTAGGATGAAATGAGCGTCCTGGATTCCACTGTTAGCCACTGTCCATCTTTGATTAGGAGAAACTTTGATTTATTCTGTTACATAATTTACAAATAACACAATTTTGAAGTATATATATGTCGTAATAGCAGATGCAAATGTTCACCATTTTTAGTAAATAACATTGTCAAACTCATTCATACATGCCTCATTTCGACCGTTGTTAAAATATGAACTTATAGCTGTAGAGCCTGATGATGAAGTTATTGAAAACAATTGCTCACTCAAAAATCCTTCAGCTTTTAATTTTAAACAGTTTACACTATGCTGAACTACTTACTTATAATGCATAGTAGTATATTTTTTTGGATGTAATTCGTTAATCAATTCATTCTATTTAGGATCATTCTAATGTGATTCAATAGCTAATTACTTTGTTACAATGAAGTAAAAAATTTGTAATATTAATTACTTGCAGTTAATTATTTTACTCAATCTGTTTAGTTAATTTACTGAAATGATTTGGAATTCATTTGAAATATAACTGACTAATAGTGGTAGTCTTATAAAACTGATTCATATTGTATTTTTGGTTCTATTACTAGTAAACTGTGTATTTCTAATTAGAATAACATAGTATACAATGCATAAGTATGACACAAGCTCGTGTCCTACATCTCCAAGGTTATATATACATATATAATGAAGTCGGGTATATGTACCATTGGGTGTCATCCCAGAGGTATAATATCTGAGTTCTTGTCAACAGGCCAAGAGGTCCTGAATTCTGATGAACCAATGACTACTCACTTCAGAATAGTCCTCGTACCGGATATTCTTTGATATCCCGAAATACCCTCAATCTAGAGCAGTCTGTTATAAATTTCACTCACAAATAACACGAATCTCCTTTATCAAAAACTTGATTAGGATTTTTATCACAAATAGATATCTGGAAAATCACTAAAAACAGGAAGTAATGGACAGTATTTAAATGATATTATGTCGGTTATGAAATCTAAAGAATCATTGGTTTGATCTTGTATGGGGACATATAGATATTCCCTGCTTATCTGTTTATAGTTAGAGGGAGACAATTACCTAGTCATTTCTTACCATTTATTATCAGCAATTCATAGCAATCTATTTATGAAAAATCTTTACGAAGTTATTTAAGCGAAGAATAAATTGAATGTACCCTTATAACGAAACTACATTTTTCCCCACCTTATTATCTTAATTACCTTTGTATAGTTTATATTACAAATGCTTGGTGAGTAGATGGTGAATAAATCTTTTTAAGAAATTATAGCTATATATTTATACAGTTTGTAAATTTATTAAATACTATATATAAAGTATGTAGTAATATTCTGTAACAAAATTAAAATGAACGGGAAGAAGTTTGATAAAGTTAGACACTATTATTTTATCAGAAGGGGTTGTTGTGGATATTATAGTAAATTAAATAGTTGAGATCTTGAGTCAGTTGAATCTAGAACACCATGGTAAACTTGGAAGCACTGGACGGCCGTTTCCACCTGGGTTCGAATCTCGCGAGGCGGGGTCGTGGTTACACACCACTGAGGAGTCTCACAATGAAACGAAACGGTCGTCCAGTGCTTCCAGGTTTTCCATGGTGGTATAGCCTTGATTGACTCATGATCTCAATTATCAAAGTTACTATTATTTTCGTTAATAATATTCAAGGCAAATATTATGGTGGACAATAAAGCAGATCATTAAGTGAGTCAAAAGAATGAATATATATATATACGTATACAAGTGTAATCAATTTAAATTAAATCATACCTGTCAATATCAGATCTTTAGTACCCTCTTTCTGTTGTATAGGCATCGTAAGAGCTTGGTGTGCCATTGTAGCGAATGGATTTAAAGCAGATGTAACCGGTGAAGGATAAGCTAATAAAATTAAATTTTTATTATTAAATGAATATGTTAATAAATAAATAACCTATATATGAATTAGCCTATGTGTAACAGTTTAAACAACCATTTAACATTTGACTTGATGTAATTGTTATACACATATATGGACGAGTTGTAAGCATAATTATTTGACTTTTGATGTGAAAGCTTCTTATTCAATAATTGGTCTTCTAAACTAATTAGACGCTTATAAATGAATGTACTAAATGAATTGAATTGTAAACAGTAATACAATGTACATGCAGCTGATCAAAATTTAAAGTTTAGTATAATGATTTAGGAAAGAGATTAAGGTTGTCAAGTCAATGCAGATTTAGATATTATATACCAGTTGATTGAATTTTCAAAGTTAATTGTAGTAAAAGTAGATTCTTTAAAATTATTCAAGTAATCAAGCACAAACATACAGACACAATAGCGTTTTGAAATGTAAATCTCATCTTTTAGATTGGTGGATTTTTACACATGACTAGGTTTGAGTGAAGTCATTGTACGTGTTATGTATATACGTGATAAAGCTAATAAAACGTCTGCCCTCAGCAACCAACCAAGTAAAGTATGATTGTCTGAAAGTTTATTCGTTAGGAAATACAAATGCAAACTTTAATACTTCCTAAACTTATACTAAACAGTATAATATAACTAAGGTATAAGTATCATTTCGTAGAAATCTAAATGTTTAGATCATAATACATTGATTTTCTAAGCTAATTATTCTTGAAAATCCATAGCTAGGAGAACTTGGCTTGTAATATCCATTATCCATGACTTACTGACTGTGTCTCTGACTGAAATGTTAGATAACTAGGCCTGATAGTGAAAACATTCAACTTTTGACTATTCGGTTAGAACATCGATACATCCACTGCTGTCTATTATTACAAATCATTATACAAGGTAGTGTAACTTGAAATCAATTATTTCAATAGTGGAGGAGGAGATACAACCTAGTTACTATAGTGTGATATGAACATCACTTATAGGGAAATGACTATATTTTAAACAATTTTCAGTGGTATTATTCGATAAAAAACACTTACATAATCCATAAGTTGGAACACTGGGATACAAATGGGAAAGTGCATCAGTAGGAAGTCCAGTTAATGGAGATGTTAATGTATTTAAACCGAAGGAAGCATTTGAAACTACAAAAAAAAAAATTAAATAAAAATTATTAGTAAAGCAGAAATTTTTATAAAGAATTTTATTAATATTATTCTATACCTCTTTTCCCAAGGACATATTAAGTTTTAATCTCCATTAGCATTTTGTAAAAGGTGATGACGCAACAACAATTACTACAACTATCTATTTGTTACGTAAACCTAGTATGTAGAGTGAAGTTCGAACCTATGGTCGACGAGTTTGAAAATGAATATTCTAGCCCATATGCAATCGACACATTAGCTGTTGAACTGAGATTATTTGGAAAATCACTTGATAGTTGTTATTACCTATTCTAAAACTACTCACTAGTAAATATCAATGATCTACCTTAAAATAAATTCTACATCTAGGTTTTATAGCAAATATGATGAATACAATATGGATCTCAAAGTCAGGAACCAATGATCTACGTTTCAAACTTCAGTCAATTTTATTGGTAAGTATTTTAGCTTATTTTCATAATGTTTTGAAACTAACAAGTTGCAAACATTGGAAATTCATTTTAGTGTTAGTCACTCATAAATACACCATAGTTGAATGAGATGTGGAGATTATTTAAGTCTGGTCAAAAGTAAATTCCAATACGGAATAAAATTGCCTTTTTTTAATGACTCTGTTGTTGATATTAGTCAGTAACAGTGGGAAAAGTTTATCATAATTGTATGGGCAGAGGAATTTTTAATTTATCTGTTAATCAGTGTCTAAATGACCCTGATTGAGCTACTTAATCAAGACATTTATACAAAATGTCAGCCTTAACTTATTTCTTGAATTGTTTACATCTGAATCATCCATACAGTATATTCCTAATTGATCAAGGGCACTCTAGGAATAATTGGTACATTTTAGCGGTTGAAATCACTACTCGATCTATGCTAGACCATTATTAAGAACCTGGAAAAACTGGACGACCGGTCTGCTCTAACGGAGGACTCTTCAGCAGGGAAAATTCACGGACCCTCATGTGGGACTCGAATTTGTCTATGTGAGACGTATGAAACTTAAAATAATAATAATAAGATGCTGGACAATAATATACTTACTTGCTTGATTCAAAGGAAGAGAAACAGCGCCAAGACCATTGAGATTTGCAGATGGTGTATGTGTCCCAGGAACTGCATGTAGAGCTAATGTATGACCACTAGCTCCAGGAGATCCTAAGTTTATTGTTTGTCCTGCCAAACCACCTGTTGTTCCATTTGAATTCACATTCCCGGCCACATTTCCATTTGCCATGGCAACTACGGCTGCGGCGGCTGCAGCCATTGCCGCATTTGTACTGAGTGCAGCGGCGGCTGCTGCCGCTGTAGAGTTTCCATTATTAGTGGAATTATTACACCCTGTCTCTCCGGAGACACATGTACTGTTTACATTAGATAAAGCTGCCATTTGAGGTGATATTTGTGTTAGCTGAGGATTACTGCCGGACATACCAAGCACAGCGGCGGCAGCTGCTGCCGCAGCCATTGGATTTGTGTGACAGTTAGGCGATAGATTAACAGTACCTGAACGTGGACTATGCAGTAATGGAGCACAGCCTAAATGTCCACTAGAACCGTTGGTTAAAGCGGAAATCATTGCTAAATTTGTCACATTATTTGGTAAATTCACTGTAGCTAATTGACTGGCATGCTGAAGTTGTAATGCTAATGCAGCAACTGGATTAATATAACCTGTTGTTTGTGCCATATTCTAAATAAACCAAGATTTTTATATACAAATTAACTATCAATTCTAAATTTGTCAATATAGAAAAGAATAAAATCTGTGAAAACTGTTGTAAATTAAAACAAGGCTTTATTGGCTGTTTTGTAGTGTGTGCTACTGATATCGATAGAGATAATTGGTATCTATCATCGAAAGTGAAATTCCTGGTGGCAGAGGGTTAAAAAGATCGAAGAGAAGAAAATGATATCAGAGGATGAATGATATGGAAGCGAAAGAACAATGAAGTCTTAATTGGCTTATTTACAACTCTGAGTCATAATTATCAAGAAGTGTAAATGAACTTTTCTGTCAAAGCATGAAGCATAAAGACGAATCAATCACAATTGAGAACTAGGCTTATAGATTTTCACTTGAAACTCAAATATCATGGAAAACGAGCAGTTGAAAAATCTTGAGAATGATAGCGAAAATTTACTTTTTGCCACGATAGTTTCAAAATGAAAATATTAAACATACTAAATGACGAATTCTGCTTTTATAGAATAAATGTAACAGGCATATCAACATTATCCCTGAGTCCTAACGTTAACCTCTTAGTCCTGACGCGAATTTTAACTTTAACAGGGAAATGAACCCATAAAAGAGCTTAACAGATTCGTTAAATATGTAAATTCTGTTTAAACTTTGTAATAATAGCCTTTTTGTTTTCCAGAAACTATTCATTTACAAAGTTATTTTCTACTTGACTACAAACTGGCTGAAAATTCGCCGTGGTTGTTTAGAATTCACCATGATATTGTATTCTTGCCACTTGTTGTTGTGTTGTTTACTTTATCCGCTAATAATCTCTCCTTGTATTTCTTCGAACAGTGTGAATACTTTATGATCAATGAATTTACAACTTGGAAACACAATTCTTACAATATTTAGAATGTGCTGTAGTGAACAAGAACACAGTGGGGACAATCAAATGTATTTAAGCACAAATTACAAACTATCTCAGTAAAATCTGATAACCATACAATAAACAGGTAATTTGCAAAATAACAACCAATTGTCTTAATCTTAACAGTTCTTTCTGCAAATATCAGTTCATCTTTTCTGATTTCATTGTTCATGCATTTCCATACCTATTGCGCTTCGTTTATGTTCTTTCCTTATCGATCTTCTGTTGGAACACATTCTATGCCTGACCATCACCAAGTACTACTTATGTGGATATAAAGTAACCCACACCACAGTTCAAGCAAATGGTCTTGTAGTGCCGCGATTCGTTAATCGTTTACTTCGATAACCGTTATGATTGTAAACTTAACGGTGCGTAAAATCAGAAGACAAAGGATAGCAGCAACTACAGTTTATTGTCGAATAACTCAGGTTCGAAAGCTAACAACACCTGAGCGAATATCAACGAGCGAGTGAGCGGCAAGTGAGAGAGCGAGTGAACAGGCGAACAAGCGAAGGGAACGAACGAGATGCAAGTGAGCGAATAGCAAGCAATTACATAGGCAATTTATTGTCAAATTTAATAAGGGTACAGCAAAGCAAAACAAAGACTGATAATAATATTTGCGTGCGTACATATATGGGGAGGAGTATGAGTCATCGAATGATATTTAAGTTGTCAACATTTCGGCTAGAGTGTCATGTGCTCTAGTGGTATAGCAGTGCAAAGAATATGCAAATTGTTACTATCCAAATGACGATGTCTGTTAAGTAAGTTATAAAAAATGGCTTAACCGAAATTGATTGTAGGATGGTTGCTATAGTCTTTTCAAGATTTATTTGAATAAATATCAATTTTCTGAATTTGTGTTTTTTTTTTTAAACTTCTTGTGAGTGCCTTCTCATTCACCTGAACTTCATTGTTTAATGTAAACCAACATGCATTGACAACTGAAAATAACAGTTCACATCATAGTCACTACACTTTATATTGGTTTAATAAAATGGATTCTTAAATTACATTAATCTTATATATGAGTAATGAAATGGTGGAAAAGTGAATATTTTTTTCAAATCATTATTTTGTTTATTTTGAAATAGATTTTAGATTGTTTCTTTCTAATAAAGTCTTGAACTAGATCTGACACCATGTAAACAAAATCACATGGAAATCAAGTTTATCTTTATCGAAGATAAGTATCTAAATTATAGAGTTATGATCACATTGATAGCCATAAATAGAACTGGATGAATAGCCAATCACATTGTAGGCTTTATACCCTAGTTTGATCTTAATGAGTTCTATCTTGTCTATGAATCAATGGACATTGTTACTCATATTTACTGAGTCCAAATATTTTTTGATATGTGCACTGTGTGTGTGCACTGTGTTAATGAATGACTATATTAATATTATGTTAAAAAATAATTATTAAATGGATGTTACTAAAACAGTTAATATACTAAAAGCCAAATTGTATTCTTCCTGATTATAGCATAATATAGCATAGTTATTTACTTACTTACTTACTTACGCCTGTTACTCCCAATGGAGCATAGGCCGCCGACCAGCTTTCTCCAACCCACTCTGTCCTGGGCTTCCTTTTCTAGTTCTATCCAGTTCTTGTTCATTCTTCTCATGTCTGTCTCTATTTCTCGGCGTAATGTGTTCTTTGGTCTTCCTCTTTTCCGTTGACCTTCAGGATTCCATGTGAGGGCTTGTCTTGTGACGCAATTAGCTGATTTCCTCAAGGTGTGCCCAATCCACTTCCAGCGCTTTCTCCTGATTTCTTCCTCCGCTGGAATCTCGTTTGTTGTATCCCACAGTAATTTATTGCTGATAGTGTCTGGCCATCGGATCCGAAGTATTTTGCGCAGACAGCTGTTGATGAACACTTGTATCTTCTGGATAATGGCTTTCGTATTTCTCCACGTCTCCGCCCCATACAGTAGAACTGTCTTCACATTTGTATTGAAAATTCTAACCATGGTGTTGGTTGACAATTGTTTTGATCTCCAGATGCTTTTCAGTTGTAGGTATGCTGCTCTTGCTTTGCCGATCCGCGCCCTCACATCTGCATCTGATCCACCGTGTTCATCAATGATGCTGCCCAGATATGTAAAGGTTTCCACATCCTCCAAAGCTTCTCCGTCAAGTGTAATTTGATTGGTGCATATTGTATTGTATCGGAGAGTCTTGCTTTTCTCTTTGTTTATATTGAGACCTACTGCTGCTGAGGCTGCTGCTACACTGGTCGTTTTCTCCTGCATTTGTTGTTGAGTTTGTGATATAAGAGCCAGATCATCCGCGAAGTATAGCATAGTATAGCATAGATATTAAATATATCAAATGATTGGTATCACAGAAGTAAATACATAAAATCTTTTTGTATATAAATAATAACTACACATACTTACTTCTATCATTTGTGAATACATATTACCATTTAGTTGAGATATTGCTATAGTTGGACTAAATAAACCCATTGGACCAATTAATTGTTGAATTTTTCTTGTATGACGTTCTTTTTCACTATCGGCAAATTTCACAACAATACTTGATGAAGCCCCCTGTGGTTGTTGTATCATTAGTGATGATGATGATGATATTTTAATGAATAATTGATGCAGATTTCAGAGAGGATGAACAATAAAACGTGGTATTATAAAAAATATTAAAATTCATATTACTATTTAAGTAAACTGAAAAGCTCCAAAATATGAAACGTGAATAGTTATACGTGACTGAACTAAAAACATGCCAATGGTTTTGCAACATCATGAATTGCTGAGGAGTCCCATAATAGGACGAAACGGCCATCCAGTGCTTCCAGGTTTTCGATGGTGATCTAGCTTCAATTGACCCATGATTTCAACTGTGTAAAATTGGAAATCCAAACAATCTAAAACCGGCTAAGTGACTTAAATGTCAAATCCTGGTTATGAGATTTAAAGGTCCTGGGTTTAATCCATGTGGGTGGTAGGCATGTGGTTGTGAATTGTTGAGACGTGCTTCATACCAGAATGAAATAGATATTCAGTGTATCCGGGTGTTCGATTGTAGACGAAATAAGATCAATTTATGATACAATGAGTATTTATTCCAGGATAATTTTATGTAGACCTACTAGTAAACATTAGTGACTCATTTCTTTTGGTAATCTAAAATGACGGTCAATGGAATAAAATTAGATTACTCACTTTCTTACTTATGAACCTGCTAAACTCGATAGTTTGCTATCCATTGTGTAATCATGTGGCTTACTTGTTTATACATGTGATCTATGAATACGTATCATAAAAAGTACTAGAGAACATCGAGCTATCTCTTGTTCTCATTGAATTCCTGGTAAAGTAGTATTTGGGAGATGACAAGAATACAGAAATAGCGTTGACAGATTTATTAATTTCGGCGTCGAAAAAAAACACAACGTTTACCTTAGTTGAAGATATGATACAGCAAGAACACTGAATACTGAGATAGATCTACAAGATTTTTTGGGGAAGATTTTTAAGACAACCAATGTGATGTTAGAAAGTCCTAATTGAAACAAATTTATATATTTTGAGTGTTATTTGAACATTACTGTCTCGAAAAATCAGTTTCTAAATTATTAAAACAATGATCATTGACTTTCTATCAAATGGTTATGAACATTTAACGTAAGAAAGCAATATTAAACTATCGTATCCTATCGGTTAGCTTAGAAATCACAATTTTATTACGTAACTTGTTAATTATAATTGTTACGATTTAGTTATTAATCAAAATCTATTAGTCATGATACTTTTGAAGGATAAAACACATTTACATACATACATACACGAATATACTGAGAACTTACCGGCATTGTTTGACTTCCATGTAGCGTAAGAATAGCAGATTGTGCTTCCTGTTGTGTAGAGAATTTTACAAACGCGCACCCTTTATTTGAAAGAAAAAAGTAAATGTTTATAATAAATTAATTGAAATTATAGTTATAATAACGATATGCTTAGTGCTATTACAAGTTCACCTTACTCGGTAAACGAAACGAAGGTCAATGATCCAGTGACACGATAGGCTATTCTAATCTGTTGTCCCCGGCCATGCTAACTAGATTAACAAGTCTTGATGAGGCACAGAAGAATGTATTCTACATGCACCCAGGTCACTAAGCACACAAATCAAGCTTATTTATACAATGATAGAAACGCCTTTGGGAGAGCCAAAAAATAGCGTACTATAAAAATCCATTAACCAACAACGGTCAAGGAATTCCGAGTGGGAAAATATAAAATTCAAATTTTGAGAATAAAACTACAAAATTAGGACCTTCTCCAAGTGAGTTCTAGGAATATAATGTCCCCAATAAATAATAATAATAATAATAGTATTATGAATGGATTTTATTAACAGATAACAATTTTCAATGGACTTTGAATTACGTTCATTTTGTTTAACTCGATGTAATAGTTAAATTACCCTGAAGTGATTATAGAAAGTTTTAAAGATTAAAAAGTGTTTATTATGTAATAGTTCAAATGAATTATGGATATTTTATTGTCGAATTATATGAGTTTTATGATTCAGCATTCATTATTAATCACGTTTTATTTTAAATTATTAAAACTCTTGGTTTTATACTCCTCATTAGTAGATACGCATGATCTCAAAAGAGATCTAATCTACGGTAATTTTACCCTTCATTACATATGATTATTTCAGATCAATGGGACAAAAACTATTGGTTTATATTCTCGTATTCAATCAGTTTATGGTACGGCCTACGATCCTCACGTTATGTGATCGATGAGTTATTATCTTACTCCTTAGTTTAGTCAATCCTACATGATACGACGAAATTTCTTAAAAATCATTACGGAATTGTTATTTGATCGGGCGATTTCATCGAGTTTCTTTTCATTTTGAAGACAAGATTTATGATAATGGCTAAAAAACAACTGAAAACTAAGACAAGGTAGATAATTGTTTTTCTTTAGTTTAGGACTTTTTGGTAGTGCGCACATATGATCCAGGGTTTTACATGACATTTTCCGTGATAACAACTCACTTCGAGTAATTCGATTTAACTTTTCATGGTGGTGAAATCATGTTAACTAATAAACAATACTATTATAATCTTTCTAGTTTGCATCAATCATAGATTGCTCTGAGTTGAGGTACTATTGGAAACCAAGGAGCACTGGATGGTAATTTCAGTTTATTATGGCATATGAGGATGTGGGCACCCATGATCCTACCATATGAACTCTCAACCATTAAAACCATTGAGCTGATGTCTAGCGGTACAATTTTAAGTACAAAGAAATACACATCCAGTACTCTATGGTTTCCAATGACATTTCAACTGAGATCAAATTGTAACGAATGTAATTTGCAAATTAAAAATCTAATTCACACAAAATCCCTTCAGCTATACAAAAATCATACTATGAATGAGTTCAACTTAAAAGTTAATTTATGATGAATTATCATGATTATTTTACCTTTACTATTTCCACTTTGATCTCGTAGTATTGTACATTCTTCAATTGTACCAAATGGTTCAAATAATAATCTGACATCTTCTTCATTTTGTTGTTTACTTAACATACCAACAAATAATTTACGTTCTTCTAAAGAAAAATAAACAATCAATTAAAAAACTAACATAAAATGCTCATTTAAGCACTAGGGAATTAGTTACACATATTGAAGTTCAACATTAAACAATGAATGGTTGATATCAGTATAATTTTATTCTGTTATGAAATTAATAAATGTTCGATATGATATCCATTATCTAAGTAACATTATTTTAAAAGTCAGTCTAGGCTAGACCACCAATGAAAACGTGGAAGCAGTGGAACGCCATTCCGTCCCATTAAGGGACTCCTCAGCAATAAGGATCTAGGATTCCGCACGCGGGATGCGAACCTAGGAACCTCGATCTCGCGAGCGAAAACTTAAAATGTAGATCACTGAGTCAGCATCCAACAATAATAATGTCCTATACTAGGACGAAACAGCTGTTTAGTGCTTACAGGTTTTCAATGATGGTCTAGCTTAGATCGACTCGTGAATTCAACCATTAAAAATACAACGACCTTCACAAATCTCCATACTGATAAGCAACATTAAACAAATCTATAGATCGATGTGTGAGCTCAGTGTGGCATTGAGTTAAGTTTATTAAAATATCCATTAAAATGTCCATTAAAATATCGGTTCATTTTTTGTATTCAAACATAGTCAACCAATAACAGATTTTAAGCAGAGATGCATAGTGGCTAGCAGTGGAATCGAGGACGCGCGTTTCGTCCTATTTGGGACTAGTCAGCTGGATGTACCTGCATCTCAGAGTTGATGTTCACTCTGGGACTTGAACCCAGTACCCTCGCTTAAAACGCCATCTCGTTATCCACTCGGCCAGTGAGTCCTGATAACCACTCTCTCTGCTTACCATGCTTGTGAATTAAGGCTATATCAAGACAATACGTACAGTATACACATATGCCAATTAGAGACTGACCAGTTGCAGTCTTAACAAATCGATGGGAAGATTCAAACAAACAATACTGAATGAATAACAGATTTTATTATCAGTCATTAATTATAATATGTTCCATTCACATGTATTATAATTGTTACATATTTATACTCTAGATTTTACGTATTCCGATAGAAAATTGAATAATCACCATCGTTATTATTAGCATTTTATACTTTACAATAGGCTGATAAATGGATTGTTTGAGAAAATAATGCGCACTTCTGAGGAGTCTCAAAATAGGACTAGCTTCAAGTGACTCACGCTTTCAACTATGAAAATACTGAGTCTCCACAAAAATCCCTTCTGAAAATAAACTGTGTTATTATTAAATCTTATATAATAATGGAGATAATAATATTAAGTTGCGATTAAAACTCATAGATTACGAGGTTTCCGAAGATTTCTAATGGCTCAACATAGTTTAATATGTCAAATTATTTTTAGTTTTATTTCAAACCTACTTGTCAATAATTCTTTAATGGTATGAATAATAAAAGTTATCTCCAAATATATCAAATTTTCACGGTATGCTTTAACACATTTAAGTTGGGATTGTTTTCATAATCAACTCTAACTACTATCATAAATTCAGTAAACAAATTTGTATACAAAATAATTTTTCATTTTATTACAAGGTGGAAATAACATCGGGAATCGATATAATAAATATTACGTAATTCCTTAAAATCATCTAAAGTAAAAAAAGAAACAGTACACAGCAGTGACGTCTCACACTCTAAAATTTGGTGACATAAGTTTTAATCTCACTGGGATCATTATTTCTCTCATAGATCTTGGTGTATGTTGATGATAAGCATGAAACTTAGGATCAGGGCTTCCTCCCGACTACCTTCACTTATTTAACGTCAATGCTCTAACTAACATAAACATTCAACGTCATAATCAAGCATGTTACTAGTGAACAACCATAAATCTTTTTATATCAGTTACGTTAGTTATCCAATAAATAACATACAGTAATACTAAATTACAAATCTTAATTACTAGTAAATGACAATAAATAAGATTTCGTGAGCTTAAAACATGATTACACAGTTTACAAATTTGATTTTACAAACCATAATGGTAGAAATTCTAGGTTATAAACTGAAATTAATTTTGCAATCATTAAAAGTCAACTGGCATTTGTAATAACAAAGTATGTAAAATGTTACGATAAAACTGCTATCCATACTGAGCATCATCATACTTAACCATGATAAAGAAGAACGTGTTCGTTGGTTTTAGTGTATCTGACCTCCATCAGTCGATGGCTTTGTGATATTTGTCAGCAAATCATAAAACTAACTTTATATAAATTAATTCTATATCATACACCTGACATTCTGTCTCCTGGCTCTAACAAACCTTTTGCAGAACTGTTATACACGTATATATGTATATATGTCTACTATTGATGAACTAAAAGCATTCAACATCTCACTGGATAAACTACAGTTAGCTTTAGACTTAGAATGAAGGCTTCGGTTAACCCATTTTGATACTAGTTTAAAGTAATTAAACACTTGCTTGATTCTTATCCTGAATCAAATTCAAACAAATAATCTTATCTTACGTAAATTAGTTTGTGGCTGGTATATCTCATTGTTGATTTATCTGTTGAAGCATCCAACACATCTAACTAAAGACCGATAACAAGCATGAAACTACGGTGGTGATGACATTTGTCTGATCAACTTCAAGCTTCTGATAGCAACGGGATACTGGACAAAGCGCTGACCGTTCAAAGTTCAGTACATGGTGAATTATTTTCTCTAAAGCGTGTAGCAGAAAAGTGTGTTTTTAAATTAACTACTAAAGTTGTTTGTCAATATCAAATTGTATGTATAATAGATAGTTTTAAAATCACCGTCCAAATTCCATTGTTGTATTACGGGTTCTGATTAGATGAATGATGGGGCCATCTTCAATTTTGTTCTATAAACGATACATACTACCCACTATTCCTAGAAAACCTGAATGGAACATTGAAGTAGGCCCCCCGACCCTACTTGAAGTTCAAAAGGCTATAGGTAATCTGAAACGAGGAAGAGCAGCTGGTCCTGATGGATTAGCTCCAGAGGTCTTTAAATATGGTGGTCCGATTTTAGCGATTAGGTTGACTAATATTCTGGCTAAAATCTGGGAGACGGATGTAATCCCATCCGACTGGTCACAATCACTGATTGTCCCAATATATAAAAAGGGGTCAAAATCATCCTGCGATAACCATAGAGGGATTAGTCTGACCAACATAGCATCTAAAATACTAGCCTCAATAATTATCGGGCGCCTAACTAAGACTCGTGAACTGCAAACACGAGAAAATCAGGCTGGCTTCAGACCTGGTCGTGGCTGTATCGACCACATATTCACCATTCGTCAAGTCTTAGAGCACAGACACGCTTATCGGCGTCGGACAATGATAGTTTTTCTTGACTTGAAAGCAGCATTTGACTCTGTAGACCTAGAGGTTCTGTGGCAGTGTCTGTCATTGAAAGGTGTACCTGAGAAGTACATAAACCTTGTGAAGGCTCTTTACTCGAACACTACCAGTCGAGTGAGAGCTTATGGCGAACTGTCATATGATTTTACAACCTCAAGTGGTGTCCGACAAGGCTGTCCACTATCCCCATTTTTGTTTAACTTCATTATAGACCTGTTGCTGGAAATAACACTCTCTTCGACTGAATTTACAGGAATTGATCTCCTACCAGGGGGACCACTAATCGACTTAGAATACGTAGATGACATAGTCCTGTTTGGTGAAGACGCTGACAAAATGCAGAGTCTTCTGTTGGAACTCAGTAATAATGCCAGGATGTTTGGGATGCGTTTCTCCCCATCCAAATGTAAATTGTTACTCCAGGACTGGCCTACGTCAACACCTGAACTAACGATAGGGAGTGAAGTAGTCGAACGCGTCGACAACTTCACTTATCTTGGAAGTCTGATCAGCCCTAATGGTTTGGTGTCTGACGAAATCTCTGCACGGATTCAAATACCTCGTTTGGCTTTTGCCAACTTACGTCACCTATGGCGAAGACGAGATATCCGTCTATCAATTAAAGGACGAGTATACTGCGCATCAGTTCGCTCTGTTCTACTTTACGGTTGTGAAACATGGCCATTAAGAGTAGAAGATACTCGTAGGTTACTAGTATTTGACCACAGATGCCTTAGAAATATTGCTCGCATCTGCTGGGATCACCGGGTAAGTAATAGTGAGGTTAGACTCATGGTATTAGGGAATGATGGTAAATCAGTTGATGAGGTGATGAATCTTCATCGACTGAGATGGTTGGGCCATGTGTTACGTATGCCTGAACACCGATTACCACGACGCGCTATGATGACTAGTGTAGGGGATTGTTGGAAGAGAGTTAGGGGCAGCCAAACCAAAACATGGCATCAGTGTTTAAAGTCACTAACTTCTAGTCTGAGCCATGTTGACAGATGCAGACTACCTGGTTGGGGTCCGCGTGACTATCGTAACCAATGGTTGGAGACTCTAGGTGACATGGCTCAGAATCGATCACAATGGCGTCGGTGTATACACTCTTTATCTTCCATTAAACCTTGAGATTAAAATTACTTCATATCTGTCTTCCTATACTATGTCCCTATATACACCCTTTTTTTTATATAATAACACCACTAAATTAACTACTTCTATGAATCCGGTGTTCATATTGTTGTGCTAACGAGGTATGGCAACTTGGACCGATGCATAAATGTGCCTGGTCCTACGTTGTAGCTGACTGACTGACATAGTGAAATAATGTGACTATGTGGTCGTTTGTCAGAAGACTGAATTATTGACATAAATGCGTAAATTAACTAAAATCAACAATAAGACTACTAGACAGAAGTTGTTCTTTCGTAACAGATAAAATATGATTAAAGTTCGTAAACGATTGGTTAGTAAGACGTTTATACATCACCCCAATAGAGTTACTATCTGCCTATCATATCATAAACAGTATAATCTTGGAAAATATCACTTTTTCCTATTCATTCTATAAACTATCAGTGAAACCTAGTCTTCACTAATACAAAAATTAATAAAGATTCACTATCTTG